GTTCCGTTCTACAGCTGGCGTCGAGCGTTACAGAGGAAAACGAGCTGTTTCATTCCTGTCTTGTTTTCCCCGTTTTGGGGGTGTTTTTCAGCGTCACGTCGCTGCTCCCAGGCGCGCTGCAGCAGCCCGTGCGGACACTCACCTACTGCAGCCTGAGGAAGGGCAAGAGGAAAAGTGTAAAATCTGTAGTCAAAAGGTTTCTCCGGCTGCACAACGGCCTGTGGGTTAGGAGAAAGGTAAGGCGATTTTCGTTAACACAAGCGTGTTTGTTACGGTCAGTGGGCTTATTTTCCTGTCGTTAGAGAGCAGTAGCTAGTGTGGAGGTTTAAAAACGCTCTGTGCAGAGAGTCCCGTCTTCTGAAGGTAGGGATTCATAGAACGATAGAATGTTGGGGGTTGGAAGGGACCTCTAGGGATCACCCAGTCCAACCCCCTGCCAGAGCAGGATCCCCCAGGGCAGCCACCCAACAGGCAGGTTTGCAAGTCTCCAGAGCAGGAGACTCCACACCCTCTCTGGGCAGCCTGGGCCAGGGCTCCAGCACTCTCACCAGGAAGAAGTTTCTCCTCATGTTGAGGTGGAACTTCCTGTGTTCTAACTTAAACCCATTATTTCTTGTTCTATTGCTGGGCACCACTGAGAAGAGATTGTCCCCTTCCTCTTGACCCCCACCCCTCAGATATTTCTCTACGTTAATAAGGTCCCCTCTCAGCCGTCTCCTTTCAAGGCTGAACAGCCCCAGGTCTCTCAGTCTCTCTTCACAGGAGAGATGTTCAAGTCCCTTAATCATCCTCGTAGCTCTCCCTTGGACTCTCTCCACTAGGTCCCCATCTCTCCTGAACTGGGGAGCCCAAAACTGGACACCGGATTCCTCCTGGCTTTCCTTTCCATATTCCAAAAACCTGTTTCAAAGTCTTTTGTGTATTTTTTTCTGACAGGCTGGTTATAAGAAGAAACTGTGGAAGAAGTCAGCTGCCCAGAGGAAGCGTTTGAGAGAGTTCACATTGTGCACTAGGACGCAATGTAAACTTCTTGATAAAATGACCACTTCTTTCTGGAAAAGAAGAAATTGGTATGTTGATGATCCCTACCAGAAGTATCACGATCGCACAAATCTCCGCGTATAGGAACCTTGGTTTCATTTTTGCACCTCCCTAAGGAAAGAGGTGGTGCTAACTGTGGTCTTAATTTCAGGACACAAATGTGTAATACCTGTTACTTTTCCAAATAAGCATGCGTATCATCTGATCAGAATTGCAGCTATCAATGCCCAAAATAAAGGAATATTCAAGATTTTTTTTGAGCTGCAGTTTCATTTTATTTAGCAGATCACCTGCACGTTCTGATATCTGCTGGTTTCCTGTGACGATCTGTAATGAACGTACAGGGCTTAGTACAGTCTAAACATCATTAGAAGTGAATAATTCCATATATTTAAGCTTAAAATTTTTGAAAGAAACATTTAAATATCCCCAGGATATATTTTCCTGTGTCCTTAATTATCAGTAGCTCATTGAATGGAGCTTCCTGGGGGAGGGCATAGAGCCGAGCAAGGTCTTTATTGGAATTGTTGCCTGTCGTCGTACCACTTAAACTGTTGCTGTGTCTCCACGCTAGAGAGCACAAAAAAGCCTGTGTCATGACTACGTGCAGTTTTTATAACTGATTTTAGCACCACCAAACTTCATTAGGAGGCTCACACTTTGTACCTCACAGTGTTTGGGGGTTTTTTGAGTGGTAGAATATATTCTTTGGGTCCTGTGCTACATCCTCAAGCAGCCAACTCCGAGTATGTTCCTGTTTAGTCTCTCTTTAAGCGTGGTCATACCTCCCCCAGCGTATCTCTGAGCACACACAGATGTGGAGTAAAACCCGAGGATTTATGACGGGGCCGTTTGGGAGGAGTACAGTGCAGCCGAGGGCTAGAGCGGAGCTTTTCTCTACAGAGCCAATACCTGAGCAAGCATAAGAACACCGGTTGCTTCTAGCAGGAGCTTTAAAACATTCACTAAGAATTAACGTGTTATTAAGCAGATAGTCCCCAGTTATCAGCTCCCAAGCCAAGTCTAGCAAGTGATGGTTGGCTGTACAAGGCCGTAGCATTTTAATGAATTCACTAGTTACTCAGAGTGTTCAGTAGCTGTATTTTTTTTTTTCCAGTTCATAATACAGAAAGAATTTCTGAAGGACATGCAGCACTTAGTGAATACATCTATATACAGTGAGCCAGAATTGAGATAAAAATAATACAGCGATCAAAGTAATTATTCTGGCCTGCCAGATACATTGAACAGACTAAAGATGTTTTGTTTTGTGGGTTTTTTTTAAACTTTTTAATGAAAAGATTAAGACTTTATTCAAGATGTATATCAAGCAGTGTAACAAAACCAGCAAAACATCAACCTTTGGAATACAGTGGTAACGGCCAACCTTGTGAGGCGTGAAGTGTTGTACCATTTCATCACCGATCTTTTTCTACCAACCACAGAAAAAAAACCACATGAAGTGCACAAGGACAACCCTTAAATAGTGTGTCTAAACGCAAATCCCATCGTGTAGTGTTCTCGGCTATTTCAAACATGGTGCTAGACGCGAAACGGGGACCCGAAACAAACGGCAAAAAGGAGGCTGTGACCAGGGAGCGCTCGGTCGCGGGTTCGGGGGTTTTGTCGCTCCAGGGGAGCGGTTGGAGGCAGCGGGTTCTTTCCGTGAGGCCGGGGAGCATCGCGTCTGGCCAAGCAGCTTTCTCCTTGGCAGGAACAAACAGCCCGGCTCTCCTCTTCCGTGCAGGGTTTGTGCCCGCACCGTTGCGATTGGCGGGGGATTAGTTCCCGGGTAACAGTAACCCTCACGAAGCCCATCTTGTCCATACTTGACGCGATCCCGATTCAGCAGTCGGCGACGGCCCCTGCCACGAGGAAGAGGCACAAAGGGCTGCGCTGAGCCGCTCTGAGCGCGTTCTCTTCATACCCCGCCTGAATTCGTGCTGAAGAAGTGCCACAATTCGCAGGTGGAACTAAAGCACCGTGCAGACCTCTCTTTGCTCCGGGCTGCCGGGAGGGGTCAGCAGCAGAGCAGGGAGGCGACTCGCTGGACGGGGCTCCAGAGGGAAGCTGGAACAAAAGGCCTGGCGGCCGGGCCTTGGTTCCGAAGGAAGGCCCTTGCCCAAAGAGCGAAGCGACTCACTTGGCGCAACCCCTGTAACCAGCCTGCGTGTGGAAGGTGAGGAAGCAAAAGCAGATGCCCGTTCCCTCCTGTGCACGCAACGCCGGCGCCTGCTCTAGTGGGAGATGTCCCTGCTCGCTGCAGGGGGTTGGACTGGATGACCTTTACAGGTCCCTTCCAGCCGAAGGTGTTCTGTGGTTCTGTGATTCTAAGCGGACGTGGTGAGGCATTCACATTTCTTGTCTACCTATACACAAATGTACAGCTCGGTTGATAATACATTTTTGCCAGAGATATGAAAAGGTTTATTTTTCTCGTTTATACAGTGAACGTTTTGAGAGATATAAGGCAACTCCCTTTGTCAACAATTTCACCTCAGCACTTAAGAAATGCTAAACAGTCAAGTTTACAGTAAAACAGCAGATTAGACGCACATTTAGTAATTTTAGTGAGAATCAATGTTAATACAGCGTGTCTGAGAATAGAGTTTGTCAGATGTTATGTAGCTCTACGTCACTGGGGTTTTTTGGCATAATTGAGTGCAAACTTGTCAGCTTCTTTTTTATCTTACGCAGCCCATTGCATAGCAGGGAAACATAGCTTGCTTGCAACAGGATTTAATTTTCTGCTAACACTGCAGGCAGTTTTTCTATTTCTTTTTAATGTTTGCCAAAAGAAATCAAATAAACTCAAAAGCTGGTTAAAAGTAAAACACACAAGCTTAGCTTCTCAAAGCTTTTGCTGACTATCTTCCAAGGACTGAATCTTCTGTAACTGCTATTTAGACAGGTTGGTTGGTTTTTTCCAATTTACTTTCTGAAGACCTTTTCCTTCTTGCCCATTGCGAAATCAGATTTAATTAGCACATGTAAAGGAAATAAAATTCTCAGGTAATGAAGCCAAATACTGTGGCAGACACAGGAAATACTTGCTTGCTTTTTCCACTTCCTAGCCAGGTCAGATAAACATTTGTGCGTGCGATTAATTTATTTCTCCCTTCCCCGCATGTACAGGAAGCTCCAGGGGAGGCCTCAGAGATCCATCAGACGGGGACAGCTGGGCTATGGATGTGTACCCAGCAGAGAAAAGGTTTCAAAGGCCGCTTCAGATTTATCTCTGAGCCTTATAAACACTCCAGCCGGCTGCTGGCATCCTGGGCTGCTGCACCTGATCTGGATTAACAGAACTGTTCATCCTCAGGCCCGTGTAGGATCCGTTAGTGATAGCACGTTCTACGTAACGCTAAATGTTTTTCTACTCTATGTGACAGGTCCAAGAGCAAACACAAAGGGCCACGTAATTAATTTATGTGTGAATCTCACATGCTCAACACTTACAAGAGACACCAACTTGAAGCACAAATACACAAACCCTACCACGTCTTCCTCTTCTTTTATATTTCTCATTTATATACGGATACAAATACGCCACCTCTGTTGGGTTCTCGTGGTTCTACCCAGACTCCACGCTACAGGTGAAACTCAAAAAGCAGCTCAGACCCAGTGCCCTGCTCTGCTCGAGCGAGTAAATCAGCAGCACCTCACGAGGAAAGCGGGGCACAGGGACTGACACTTGCAGGCAGGGGAGAAAGGTGCATATTTTTCCCCTGGAAGTGTGTCGCTAAAGCGATTCTAACTTCTGTCGCTGCAGCAAGGACAAGCCTGGCTGGCTCACACTTTGAAACTGGCAGTAGAACATCTGCCACAAGCGATACAATCTGGATCTTCTAGCCACCATAATTTTCCACACAATACTCTCCTGGCTGAGGCTGATCAATATTAAGACTCCCTCTTCATTTCATCATTGAAACCATTTATTTTCTCTCGCATGTCTTCCTCGTCCTCTGTAAGTGGTTCTGTGTGGTTTTTAGCGCAATGATTTTCTCAGAACACGTGATTTACTTACAGAAAGAGAAACAGAGCTGCAGCTCAGCTTTCGCTAATCGATCTCAGACACTTTGTACAGTCAAAGTATTTTGACATTGGTGACATCATTCACAGTCTTGATGAGGAAGGGAAGGAAGAGAAATCCGTGGCTTCTGCATATCCACTTCATTAACGATCAAGCCATAAATAAATACTCTGTCGATGTATCATCATGAGTGACCGATTAGTTTTGTTTCCGCTGTGCATTCACAGAGCTAGAGCTGTGCAGACACAAATGAGAATTGGAACTGTGCAGCCTGACGGGACTGGTGCGACGGGGTGTAACGCTCTGCGAACGGAACGAGGACTCTTAACCCGGAGGTGTCTGCCAGACCGTCCCACCCACGTCACGGACGAACGTGAGAAGCGTGTAACAGAAGGATACAGAGAGAGGAGAGAGAAAGGCCATGTCTACAACGCTGTACATCAAAGCACATCCATCCCACTGCTGTTTCCTACGTTATTAACGAGTAGCTCTTTAAGGCAGAAGAGAGACATTCTGTGGATCTTGGTGCTATTGGCTCATTGCACTCACATTGTTTCAGTGGCAGAGGACGAGGTACTTTTCTTCCTGAAGCGAGGTCTAAGGGTCCTAGGCGGTGCCTGCAGGAAAGCAAGAGAAAACATCAGCAGCATAATAGGAAACATTTCTTCTTTCCTTAAAACTCACCCATCTTGACGGCACCTCTGAGGCACTGGGCCTGTAATTCTCATGAGGCAGAATTCTTTCAAAAGATCAGCCTCTTGCTTGGGAGTCAGGCCAGACACAACCCATTGAAATTATTTTAGAAGCCGACTTGCAATTCTGCCTTGCAGTCAGCTGATGCAGAGAGCTTTAAAAAGGAGCCCTGGATGCCCAGGAGGAGCCAGACCAACTCCATCAAATTGGTTTACTGTGATTAACCCCATTCTCCAGACTGAGACAGAAATTAGTTAGACTGGCAAAAAAAAAAAAAAAAAAGGAAACAACAAACACCCACACACCCACACAAACAGACAAAAAAACCCCAAACTCTAATCTGCAGTTCATACTCCTG